TCACGCATGGAGCGTTGACACGTCGTATTTGCGTCAACAAGCCCAGAGGTGTTGGGTTTGTATGCACTTACCAGAAAAGGAACCGGAAGTCTCTATCATTAAATAACCCTGCGATTTTGCGAGCGCTTTGATCCACAATCCATTCTTTTTCGACCAAAAATGAATCTACATGTTTACCATCCCTCCTAACAGAGCTGTATTTCCTTCCAACGTGCGGCTAGTTGCCCACGTGAACAGCGGACCCTCATTCTCGGTGATTTTTCATCATTGTGAGTACCGATATCCCACACCGGGACTCAAACCCGGGTCTGCTAGGTGAACGCCAGCTATCCTAACCGCTTAGAATATATGGGAAGTTGTCAAAATAGTCAAAAAAGAACAGACACATAATAACAAACCCACACACATACACACAATAAGATAAGGGCATATTTGCAGAATTTCACGCGAATCTTCGATAAATGAGTATCCCACCAAAGTGCAATGTGAATATCATGCAACTATTGATTTGATAAAGTTGTACCCAAGTGTTGGAAGTACAGAAAACACGTAATCCGTTGCATCCTACCCAATGGATGTGGACTACACTGGGGCTAATACTACTTTTGTCTTTTTGTGCCACAACAAAAGTTTAATTTACACAATAGTACATATATTAACCAGCTTTAATCTCCCTCGATTTGACGTGGACCTCGTTAGGGTTCACACTTAACTTTTCTTTTCAGAGACTGCGCAAAGTGACCGCACCTCAGCCAATCGCGGCATCCGTAGTCAGCCTCCACCCTCTGCATGTACTGTGCCTGCTTATCAGAGCATCCTTGTATTGGGAGTCATATCACATGCACCAAAACGAATGACTCGATATGCTTCTAATAAAAAGCGCTAAAAGCATTGTCAGTAAGGCTTCAGGGTGTTCTCAGAAGAAAAAAGTCGAAGTCACTTTCCGTGTTGTGACCAAATACTTCTGCCTTCACTAATCGGCACACGGCCTGACCGTTTTGCAAGGATGCTTAATGCACCGTCCCAATCTCTGTTACACGAGCCTCGTACTTCATGTTTTTTTCATCGGCGGAAGTGCGCGATAATTTGCCAAGGAGCGTAGAACGATGTTCAATTCATCACGAACAAGCCCCCGGGCTCAACGAGCCCAGCTTGCTCTACTGCGAGTGCGAGAGTCACGCCGACTCAAGCCCGATTCACCGCGCCATATTTACGGCTCGGGACCGACTGACGTAACTCGTGATACTATGCGAAGCTCTTACACACCAATGCGTGTGAGATCTGCTTTCACCAGGAAGGGATGTCATGCGTCATGCACACAGGAAACATAGATTTGAAGTCCGCGTGAAAGTGCATAAAACAATGTCTTCAAAGACAGTTTATATAATGCGGGACTTCCTAAAGCGGTTGCGTATGAAGTCCGTTACCCTTCTCGACTAGAGAGCGCTATTCCAAGAATGAAAACTCAGCAATTTGATACATAGTATTTGTGTCGCACTATCGGCTGTAATAAAACCCTGATTTTTATTGTGTGTGTGGCTAGTAGCCCGCGTGATCTACAAATCTCGTCTTGAATACCATAACTCCAATCTCCATTTGGTTGTACTTTATCGCGGTACGTTTGCTTTTGGTCTGGCGGGCGATAATGGATGTGTATATGGAGTATGTACTCCATCAAATGCTCTCCGCCGAAACGATAAGCTACAACCATGTCGGGTTTTTTTACACGATCTGCTTAGCTTGGTGTATGACTCGTCAAGTTACCAAAAACGTCGCTACCTTCCTGTAACTATATCACATCGCGAAACCATTTTTTGCGCCAATGTGCTCACCTCACTTATTCATGAACGTGCGCTAGAAGCTCACTATGAGTCAATGCGCACACGCAAGATTATCCCGCGAGCACTTCGAGGTATCACGCGGCACATCATTCTAATGACTAGAATTCCAGTCGGCCTCGGCAATTAGAACGGTAAACATTCAAATACGGACTGGTGATATTCGACATTTATTTTACCCAAACTGGACATTTGTTTAAGAGGTTTGTCGCCCTTGCGACTTGGCAGCGAAGTCTTATGGAACTCGACGCAGGACCGGAAGCAAAGGTAATGTTTGAATTTGTGAAGCCAAGCGCGACGTTGACTTTGAGGCAATTTTTGCTCCAGTCTAACTTTTATGCTTATGCTAGCGATGCCCGTACCCAAGCTGTTGTTACAGCCAGGCCTCGAACTTTGAACAAGGCCGGGCTCAGCTTGCTTATGAGATTCACATTCGCACTGCTCGATTCTGTCACTTATCCGATGAAAAGAATGGTAGAGAATGTGCCAAGTCATTGCTGCTTACGACGCCAGAGCATTTTAGCGCAGTGGAATCCCAAACTTTGAGGAGCTCTTAGAGTGAAGGTTGTTCGCTCACTTTGTTTGATACTGGTATAAACCCGCGCCGCCGGACGGGAGAATGATGCATGTACTCTATACAGCCCTATGGCAAATTTCACACTCCCGGATCACTCTTCTATTTGCATTGACTGCCATAAAAAGAAAGCACCTAAATGAGTATTTGTTAATACACCCTAACTAAGTCGATAGCGGTTTTTACCATCCTTCTCTTCAGTACAACCTCTTTTGTGTGTGCACTAATAATTGTGGCTCCTTTGATTTATCTAAAGCATGCATGATTCCCACTTGATATAAGCTATTCTACCGCATAAAGTCGGCACTAAATACGAAGATTGACTCTTCCTTACCAAACCGACGCCGTGATTTACACCGACGAAAGATATCTGATATCACACACATGTATAGATAAGAGCCATTGACATGTTATGAAGCGGGGCTGCCGTTGCTCTTTGCTTAGAGGAAGCTTATTAAGGTTACCAACCTACGTTCTATAACAAAACCAGCACGAGTGTAGCGAATCGCAGTCCGCTATTTCCAAGAGTGCCTAAAAACCTTAACCAAGGCAAATGTACTCCTCCGCTACGAACCCAACACCTCTGGGCTTGTTGACGCAAATACGACGTGTCAACGCTCCATGCGTGAAAAGACCACTACAAACTCGTTGCAGTGCCAGATCTCTTCGTTAGGCCACCTGGGTTTTAGGACAGAAGGAGTGCTTTAAAATTCTCAAAGTGGGGGTATTTTGATGCATTGGTGTATTGTCATTAGTACGACAGCGAATAGCCCAGCCAATCGATGTTTGAAGCCAGATATATGTAATTCAAGAATTGTAGTTTCCCATAATCTCCGCACGGATGTGTACAAGGGGCGATA